CCTCTACGGGAGCCTCCCAGGGACAGAAGCTGCTTGCGAGATCCGACCGGATGCCCAGCGCCGCCCGCAAGAGCCAGGAGCGCGACCGAGCTGGCATGGAGCCGCCGGCGGCCGATGTGGGTCCGGGCGCTGTGAGGGAGAAAGCACCGGGGGTTGGAGCTGCCGTGAGGGACGGGGGCTGCCCACCCCGGGAGGCCCGAGCCTGTGCCCACCCCACCAGTCCCTGAGGTCATCACTAGGGCGGGGGGAGCAGGGAGTCCCCCCAGCAGGGGGGAGAGCTTCGTGCTCGCGTCCCGCGGGCTCGCAGAGGAGCTGTGTCCACCCGTAGGCGCTGGTCTGTCTCAGGGCCCCTTTCCCCCCCCCCCCCCCCCCCCCCCACATCGCTGCCTTCAGTCCAGCGCCTGAGCTCCCAGCAGACTAGCAGCTTTTTATCCTTTGCGGTGTCCTGTCATAGGTGTGCGTGCACTGGTCCCACGCGAGCAGTGAGAAACATTCCTGTTATTCTCATGGGGTTAGTCATGTCCCAAAGCAGCACCTCATTGTCACTGCACCAAAATACGAGTTAGGGCAGGCTCAGCGGGGCTTGGTGCCCTGGGGAGTGGTTTTATGTTTTACACTATGAGATTATAGGTCAAAAGTGATAAGAAAACATATAAAGATACGCATCTTGTATATAAACAAAATATTATCTTAGTAATGGGGCAAACATCCATAACACATGCTCAGGAAGCAAACTTCTTTAATTTGAAAATGAATCCTTCTTATCTAATTCTGGACATAGGTGGCTTCATTAAAAACAATAGAGAAATTGGTGGGTGCTTCTATTAGCTGCATGTAAATGTGCACAACAGCCGAAATAGTCTATTAAAATAAGAAAAATGCCAAAATTGTTTACTTGTCAGGCACATGCCTGAGTACATTGATGAGTTTTACTTTGTTCCCTGAAGGTCTGGAGACTTGGGCTCCATTGGACTAAGCAGGAAAATGGATTCCAGAATTGGGATCCTTCTAGTGAAAATGCCTTCTTCCAATGCATTTAAATCTTGTACAGATTGGGGCTCTCTGGTCCAGCACCCTCAGGACCTGACCAGTCCTGATTGAGGGATTTTGCTGGAGCAGGGGGAAGTCATTCCTGGACTTCTGCCACTGGCCCCCTGGCTGGCTCTCCACTTCTGCTGACCCCACTGGGCAGCTATGGCTGCTATGGCTCCAAGACCCACCGAGCAGCTACAGCTCTGGAACCTGCTGGATAGCTGCATGCCACTCATTGTGACTCCCTGCTCCACAAAACCACAGCTACTGAGGCTCCCAACCCTGCCAGACAGCCACGTGCCAGGTCTCCCAACTCCACTGGGTGGCCCTGCTGTTGCGCTGAGCAGCCCTGCTGTCAGCTCGCTGGCGGGCAGCCCATTCCCCTGTTAGCCCCTCAAAAGTCCTTGCTACTGGCCCTTCACCAGGCCCTGGTCCTGTAACATCTGTGCCTGATCATGAATGTTGCCGGACTACAGAATCCGGGTTAAGAGAGTTTCAGCCTGTAGTAGTTGTCAGTGGTGCATCAATCAGCTCATCTTTGTTGGCATAGTAAAAAAATAGGAAAGCTTATGGAGAATAATCTATGATTATTTTAGATTTTCCTTTCGTCCTGATGTGAGTGAGTTGACACTGTTAATTCTTTTTTCATGCTTTTGCATACGTTTCTTTGACAAAAAATATTTTCTTTGTCCCCTCCAATACCTTTTAGGATTTTGCTAAGGAAAGATATGGAGTGTTACCACTGATACAGTCACAAGAAAAACCAGGTCAGTTACAAAAACAAAACAAAACAAACTGCTGAAAAAAAATTAGTGTTGTTACTATAGTACCAGTTTTGAACTAAAACTCTTGTTTGCTAGACTGTTTGGGGTTTTTTTTTTTTCACTACTTGTTTCTCTTTCCTTGTCCGTTTATATTATTATATCACAGTTGTAAAAAAAAATCTAATTGTTACTTCAGAATTACTGCTAAGGTTCTGAAAGCATTTGCATACATCTTCAAAGACAGGTATTGAAATATTAGGCAATAATTTGCCCTGTACTAATGTTCGATTTACTGATCTGTAATTGCCAGGATCACCTCGAGAGCCCTTTTTAAATATTGGTGTCATGTTAGCTATCTTCTAGTAATTGAGTACAGAAGATGATTTAAAGGATAGGTTACAAACCACAGTTATTAGTTCTGCAATTTCACATTTGAGTTCTTTCAGAACTCCTGGGTGAATGCCATCTGACATTTATCAATTTGTTTTGGGAGGTGACCTTATGAGTTTTTTCTGGGTAAAACTTTCTCACACTAAGACAGATTTATTTGGGGTTTTGGGCCCCTTTGGGGGTTTGTTTCCTGGGTGATGCAAATAGCTCTCTAATTGAGCTCTCCCAGAACTGAGCTGGTTCTGTGTTTGATTTACACTGCAAAGGCATGGTAATCATAACTCTGCCTTGACTGAGGAAGACCAGAGCTTCTGGCCCAACAGGACAAAGTTGGTCCAGGAAGGCAGGCACCAATGGTTTGATCACCACATCAGGGGACTACCCCACAGGGACTTCTGTGATCCATCCTGTCACAAATACCATTGCAGGGCAAGAAGTGAAAGGTGTATGATAGGAGAGAGGGAAGAGTTCAGAGTGGCAGATGGTAACCTGGATGTAAAAGTGTAACCAGTTACATCAGGCTTATCAATATCTGTTCATAAACTCTACCAGGGGCCCCAGCTGCATGCCCTGAGGCCATGCTTGCCCAGAGCCCTGTGTAAAATGTGGGGGTGCTCCCCCCACATCGGTTTTGCCCCAGTTAAGTGTTTAACTGTGTAGCTAATAGAATTTTAATTGGTTAAATAGTTACTATTTTTACACATTATTTACATTCACAACCAGGAGTTGGCAAGCTATGAGAGAGCTGTGATAGGAGGGGAAGCTCTGAGTAGGGTTTCTAGTTAGAGCAGTCAAATTCAGTACAGGAAGTCCTCAATTACAAACAGGTCATGTCCCAAAAGTTCATTTGTAAGTCGATTGTTCGGCACTAGAAATGCATTTTCCCATAGAAACAAAGTTTCACAGACTAGCATACAAAAGCCTATTTAACTCATAATTTGCTTGCAATACTGTATATTTGCAATATGAAACAGAGAAGAGTTTTTTGTTTAACTTTAAATGCTTGTGCTTGAGAAAAGACAGGTTTAATTAGAGGGGCATGAGGAGGTAGATGGAGATTGTGAGGGGGCTTCTGGACATCCTCCAGCCACCATCCTCCTTCCTTTTCCCCTCTGCCCCCTGTAGGCTCTGCACCAGCTCTTGCAGCCACCCCAGTTCCCCTCCCCCAATCCCTGGCTCACCAGGAGGTAGCGTGAGTACTAGTCAAAGGACACCGGAGGAGCGGGGCAGTCGGCAGCTGGAGAGAAGTGGCAGTTTCCCCTTCGAAACACTGCTTCTCTCCAGCCTCTGGTTGTGAGACCACTGCCTGCTCCTCTACAGTCCTCCGGCCAGCGCTTGTGCTGAGTACTACTGCTTGTGCCTCTTGCCTGTCCCCTGGGCCTGCCTTATTCATAGGCAGAATATGCAGTTGCATAGAGCATCCAAAAATTTGGGAAACTCACTGGATCTTAATGTCGACTCATCTCTTTCTAGCCTAAGTCTGTGGCTCTGCTTCCTCTAAGGAGGATCTGATTAACTTAAAAGGGAAAAAGCCTGCTAGACCTATTGGCAGAACATTGAACCTGTGAAAGCCATTCAAGTGGTTATGAAGCAATTTAACAGGCATCTGCCAATCCTAAATATATACTACGTGTTTCTGAATTTACTGTATTAGTCTACAGGAATTTAGTTTAAAATTTGCTTTAAAAATATATTTCTTTACTGTGTTTCTGAAGATTATAAAATCAATCTCTAAAAAATCGTCATCCCCAGGCTGCCATTGGGCATAGGGGCACCAGTTTAATAGTACTGTGTAGGGTCCCATAAATCCTACAGATATCCCTGCATGAGGCTTCAGATGACGTTCTGTATGTGCAGATGTTTCTAAGTTGGAGTTTACAAGTTGGGAGTGTCTGTATGTAGAAAAGGTAGATCCCATGGAATGTAGAAGTCTAGAAACAGGGATGGAGCTCTGTTGCCCTAGCTTACTTCAAGGGAGATATGCAATATCAGCAAAAACTCTTATCCCTTTTAAAGAGTACCGTATATTCCGGCGTATAAGACGACTTTTGATGTTAAAAAACATCCCCCCAAAATCGGGGGTCGTCTTATACGCTGGATATGCGGCTTTGCAAAGCCGCGGAGGGGCTCCGGCGGCGGGGCAGCCCAGGCGCGTCGGGGCTGTCCCGCTGCCAGGGCGTCCTCAGAGGCTTTGCTCCCGGTGTCCCTGGTCTGCTGGAGACGGGCCCCAGCAGACCAGGGGCACCGGGAGCAGCTTTTCTCGCCCTGGAGGTGGAGGGGGGGGGGGCAGATGGGGAAAAAGAAATCAGCCAGCACACAAGCCCAGGAAGGGGTTACCGTATTTTCCGGCGTATAAGGCGACTGGGCGTATAAGACGACCCCCTAATTTTCTAGTTAAAACTCGCTGTATAAGACTACCCCCCCTTTAGAGGCCAACCGGCAGCGCCCCAGCGCCCCTCCGCC